AGTTTAGGGCTGTCGTGCAAAATGTCGCTATGAGTCGCAAGCGACTTGACAGCACATAATAAGAACAACAACCACTCCACGTCTTTTCACATTTCCTTCAATGCTTGTCTTCTCGATATGTCCTGTGACATCTTCTGTTCAGTCCTCTCCTTCAGCATTCTTTTTGTTTAAGTTTCTTTTTTCTACAGTGAAAGTTATAGAGTCTCTTCTGAGGTCTTTTTTTACCTTTTCTTTCTCCCTTGTCTTTGTAGTCACCTTTGTTTTCTTCATGAATGATGTCCTTGAAGTCATTCTAGAATTTTGTTTTCTTGGCTCCTTAGAGTGAAATGCTTCAAGCCCATTGTTGAGATGGTTTTAAGTTCCGTTGGCATATTTTCCTGCTTTTGCACTTGTTTTAATTTCCCTCTTCAATCTGAGGATGCAAAAGAGTAGATGATCTATTCCACAGTACACCCTTAGCCATGTTTGCCAAATGAAATTTATTTTTTTTGAATACACGTGTTTTATTCCTGGTTTTACTGCTCTAGAAATTTCAAACTGATGCAATGTCTAAGCAGCTTCTGACTGTTGAAACTATATTTTAAAAAAGTCTTTAAATTCTTAATTTTTTTGCAGAATGATTGTTGTTTCAAGAAACAGAGGTACATCCCTGAACCTGCTTCCATGCGTAGGCCAAGGAATTGGGAAGACAGTTTCTAGTCAGCTGGCTGGAAGGTTCATACTTGTATGTCAAATAAAGGCAATCCAACAGAGTAAGAAAATTATTAAAATTTTATTAGTCTATAATGTACCTGAAACCAATATCTAAATTCACATAATAATAGTTTTTCTAATAGACATATTGATGTTAGCTTATCCCTGTCAGTTTTTCAACTTAGGGTAGATAGGGAAGTGTTGTTTTTGAGAATGAATGCAGAACCACTCCTTTTTCACTCTTATTTCTGGCACAGTAAATATATAGAATTCGCTAATTTAAAAACATCAACAACAATCAATGTCATTTCTCTAATGCCGTGTTGTTTTTGTGTACCACCAATGGAACCAACCCATACCTAATCCTCCAGCAGGATTTCAGAGGTAGTAAATTATACAAGAGAGGATTGTCCATCTATGCTTGTAGAGCAGATGATGATAGATTTGAACTAGGTGCCTTTTGGTAAGGGGCTCAGCTCCTTACCTTTAGACCAGCAGAGCTTCTTGGGATGTCTAAATTGAAGCAACACTTTTAATTTTTTAACAAACAGAAATGTTCCTAGGTCTATATATATTCCACACTACAGTAATTAGCTACCATTTGTAACTTTCTTTGTCTCATTTTGAGAAACTCTAAATTGAAGAGGGAAAGTTGGAGGTATTAGATTTTACATTTGTTTGCTTTCCCAGATCACTTCCACTCTGTCCTACATATTGGCTCTAATTTAGATTTGACATTATTTTCTTTTTGGTTTAATTGGAAGACAGTTACAAGGAATGCTTTTAGGAGGTGAAGGTTTTCACTGAAGGTTGAAGACAAGTAACAGTTAACACAACAAACATTTAAATGTTATAGAATTCTAATTGTATTCTTTCTGTCTCGAGGTAGAATTAGAATATTAATTCTCAAGCACTGGTCAGAAAACAATCCAGAAGTCAGTTTTCAGGTCTTGTTTTGATATACTATTCATTAGGGGAAAAGCCACAATGTTTTGCATTTCACAGGGGAAAGGGAGAATCACACAGGGCTAAATTTTGATTGGCCACTCTCAAGGACAAATAGAATTTCCTTGTTAGCCTTTTATCTTTCTTTTAAAATGTTAAAATGGTATTCATCATATGCCTCTGGATAAGTGGCTAGTCACCCACTTTCATTTTAATTTAGAGTTGTTACTGTGTGGTTGGGTTGAAAACAGATAAGGGAATATGTACAGTTGTAACATTCAAGCTAAAATTGCAACTCAGTGGTTAATAATTTTTTTAAATTTTCTATTGTTATTTGTTAAGATTCATTTAAATTTCAAGAGGAATATATATCAAGAAGGGTACTTTTAAAAATTGTTATTATTTCCTTCAGAAGAAGTAAATTTTTTTCTCTTTCTCTTTAAAATTAATATCACACACATTTCTAGGTGCCAAGAAATCATTTACTTGCTATATCTCAAGAGTGACAACATTTTGAACTGCTGTTTAGTTTCAAGACTACTAACACTGCAGAGTGGCATAAAGACCCAACAATGTCATCATGTAAACAACTCAATAACCAGTGGTCTGAAGAAGACATGCAGATGTTATTGGAAATCGTGGATAAGAACCTCCCCCCTAAGGACAGACAGACATTAAAAATCACTCAGTCACAAATGGTCTGGGAAAAAATTGCCTTCCGAGATTTTTCTGGAGAAATGTGCAAAAAGAAATGGCTGGAAATTTCTAAACATTTGCAAAAGTATCACACTATGACAGAATTAATCTTGGAGGCTCAGCAACATGTTAGAATGTTAGAAAGAAAAGCTTTCAAGAAACTCCCAGACTTCCCCAAAAAGCCTTTAACTGCTTATTTCCACTTCTACAAGGAGAACTACAGAGAGTACATGCTAAAAAACCCCAAGCTGAGTAAAGCTGGGTTAACTAACTTATTAGCCAAGCAATACAGAGAGCTTCCAGAGGAGATGAAAGAGAAATATGTCCAAGATTTCTAGAAGGAACAAGAAGAATTTAAAAGACAGATGGCTCAATTCAAAAGAGACCATCCTCATCTAATATTCCAAAAGAATTGCAAAAGACCCGTTATCCACAAGAGACACCAGGAGGAAGCCAGGAAGCATTCTCCTGAAAATTTAAACAAAATGAAGTCCTCTAAATAAACGTATGGCTTTTCCAAAGAGACAAAACTCCACAGAGAGCCCAAGAAGCCTCCCTTAAATGGATATCACAAGTTTCATCAAGATATTTGGTCAAGTAAGTAATTACAACATCTGAACACAAAAGATCGTATGGTGGAGATTAGCAGAATGTCGCAGCAAACCCCAAAGAGCCTGAAAGATCATTTTCAGGAACAGGCTGAGCATATGGTGAAACAATATAGGGTGGACCTGGATCGCTGGCTCAACACCCTGTCCCCCACGGAATATACAGCATACAGAAAGAGAACCTATGGCAAGTGCCTCAAGATGAGCATGAAGGGAGGCCCCAGCCCCCAAATTAGATTACCTTCGCAGTACCCACCAGGGAGGAGCTTGCAAGAAAGGCCTGGAGAGATGAAGTTAGAAGTTCCAGGAACAGATTCCTCAGTGACTCATCCATTACAATCCTTCTCAGTACCAGCAAAAAAGGAAGATGAGGAAAAGCTAACAAGCAGTGACTCTTCGGAGTCCAACAGTGAGAGCGAGAGAGAGACTGAGATTAAGAGTAAGAGTGAGAGTGATACTGAGAGTGAGAGTGAGAGTTCAGGAGACAGTGAGTCCAGTTCCTCACCAAAAGAGGGAGACAACACACATGCTGGGCTCTAAAGAGGAGGCTATCTCTGTGAATATGCGGGAGGCAGGCTCTTCCCTGCTGAGAGTCAGTCAGTTTTGCCCATTTTTCTCCTGAGGAGCATCTCCTGAATTCCAACTGTGTGCCTGCAGGCATACATAAGCACAGTGTGTGTGTCTGTGTGTCTGTGGGTATT